GTTTGGAGGTGAAACTGGACTTGATATTTGTACAACTTAGTTAGAGATGCCTATAAGGAACTTGGAACTTAAGACTGGTGTCGTCAGAGGAAGAATTCTGTTAAGACCTTACGGCAAGTGTACCAAAGTAAATGTCAGGACTTTTAGGGACGGCATAACTCTAACTATAACTGAAACTCAAATAGACAAACATCCTAGAGAATAACAAGTAGCCTACCCTGAGGCAGAACAGGGATAATTACTAGAGAGAGTAGTTGGTTCTCGTTAGTTAGAGAGCAATTGTGCTGTGAGAGCGAACGGTTGGTTTTCAGTTAGTTAGAGAACAATAATTGCCAGAGGGAGAATTAGTTGGTTCTCCGTCAGAGTGAGAACAGTTTGAGCTACTATTAAGATTATTTGGGTTCTCAATAGTAAGGAAATCAGGAATTGCGAGGTAAAGAGATCAGTCAAAGTACCTCAATGGAATAGTGATCCTTAGCGACACTATTAATTTTAGTAGGTCGGACTGAGTGATTGAGCGGAATTAGTGTGAGTAATTCGTTAATTAGGATTCTCTAGAGAAGAGAGAATTGCAATTGTGTTGATTGATCGCGGACCTTTTCCTTTTGATTGAATTACTAGATTATATTCGGGCCGTCTAGAGCCTTCTGTATTTGGACCAATATTTATATGAATTTAATTACTACTGAAAATTCTTGCGATCGACGAGAGTGAGCGAGACAGCCTCAAGAGCAGCATAGAAAGGGGCAAGTAACATAATACAGTACAGAATAATTGCAGAATTCATTACCAAAGGGACCACTTTGCGGGCCGTTAAGTTAGAGAGTGTGAACGGACCTAGAGACGCAATCCCTGAAATCTACACCCGAAAACAATGCTACCCAGTCAGAAATCAGTAACCGAAATTTTAAAAGAAATAAGTGTGAGCATCATAATCAATTTTGCAAAGTTTAAAACAAGACTTTAAACCCGAATGTTCACAATTTGATTTCTCATGGTCCTTTTGTACTGAGAGTTTTGCTCCCGTGAAAGTCATTGGGGCGGGGCGGGGGGCATACCTGGTATGCGTAGTGGGGTTTAGAGGAGACTGCTTTGTCTGCGGCCTTGTGGGGGTAGTCTTTGTAGTAGGAGGTGATCATGTCCATGTTGCCATCTGGCTTCACATACACATCATGCTTGCCCGCAAACTTGGGCTGCACCGGGTGTTTGATGTAGTCCGTTTTGAATGTTGTCGCGTCATCCAGAGGTCCGGAGTCCTGCACCATCTGTGGTTTCGGCTTGAACGTCTCAGGCTTCGCTCCGATGTCATATGCCCGGTACTTGTTGTTGTACTCGGTTATTTTGCACTCCTAACAACAAAACATGCCAAATCAGAATTTCCATTTCGATACTTTTAGTGGAAAATTTTTAGAATCAAAAAGAGTATGACACTCTTTTATCTGTTCTTAAAGTGGTTTAGAGCTTTTTATAGATCCGCTTCAATTGTGATTTGAGCTGGAATTAAAAACTTCATTTTTTTCAAGTATCGAGGAAAAAGTTCTTTTTCAGAATGTTTCCAATCAAAGATGGACTGCTACCAGAATATTCTTGTGCAACAGCAACTGGATAAAAGATATATTTAAAAAAGGTCATATATTTTCTAAAAAATTCTTTCAAGCAACACTGCGGCTACATATTCATCTTTTTTGCATTTCAAAGCAATTTAATTTTTTTTTCAAATACGTTTTTTGTATTTATCGCAAGCTTCAATCGATTGAAGGGATCTACTTAACAATTGACCCCTTCAAGAAAAGGGGGTAAATATTAAGTAGGTTAAGTTGTCGAATTTTCGACTAATCAGATTGCAGCAAAGTTCGAATTTACATAGAACGCTCTAGTGCTAATTTACTGTTTTTTTTTTGTTGCAGGGTTGGATTTTCTTTAATGGATACTAAAAGGAGGGCGATGGTTAAGTAGATCCGGTTGAAGATCCCTACCTGGAAGTCGTTTTTGGGTCTGGTGGGGTGCAGGGGACATTTGTGACGCCCGCAACTACAAATCTCGCAAATACAACCCTTCTGTGGCATGTTTAAATTATACTTTTTAATATAAAACTACAATAAAATCTATTCAATCAAAAAAGCGAGCAATCCAACTGTTTTCTACCGAAGCCAATAATCAATGCTTTAATTCGCAGGTGGATATTCTATGTACGTTTTGTGTGTATTTATTGTTGGTAGAAACGTTTTTGAGCGTTTTGATTACTATAAACAGACGAATTGGACATTACGGTTCTGTACCATACTACAAAATTTACATTTTGCGTGAAAGCACAGCGTTTTTTTTGCACGCTCGCTGAAATTAAGCCGTAGCAACAGCATAGTAAGTAACTTAAAAATTCATTCGAACCAAAAATGTCATCTCAACTATACATGTTTTTTCTGTCAAAATTTGATGAGAAAGCTACTTCATTAAGAAAGTACCATGATGGGGAGCTGATCAACTATTTTCGAGTTGAGAAGGTTCTTAAAACTTAAAACTAAAAAAAATAAAAAGCCATTTTGCAAAGCATGCCCTAAAGCCCGTGTTTATGCAAATGTGCGTAAAAATGTTTTTTGACGTATGGTCTACCCCCAAAATTAGCCTTCCTTTTACTCTCGAAAATTTTTATGATAAATTTTTGTTGTTTTTTCAGATTGAGCCAAGACCGTCGTTTTTCCCAGGCAGTCGTACAACAAAATCTGAGCTTCAAATTGAATGACTCTTACTACTCACAATGAAAGCGCATTTAAAGTAAACAAAAAAATATAAATTTAAACTATCTCTCGTCAACTTCTCTAGACTATCACACGACAGGTCTAACGACGTTACATGACGTCTGTCCTGCTGGTGCTGAACAAAAACTAATAAGCTTTATATTCAAACAAATTTATCGGAATACATTAAGCCAGTACAATCAGCCTGAAAAAATTATCATTCTAATTATTATGAAGTATTATTAAGGACGAGAAAAGATAGAGGGGTCAAAAATCCAGAACGAGTTGAGTCTAAAACTGTCTGATCATGGTGAAAAAATGAGAGGTCACAGGGTATGAATAGATTACCACAAAGCAGGGGCGGATCTAGGATTTTCTCGAGGGGGGCGGATTTTCAAAAAAAAAATTCGAAAATTTTGACGACCTTTTTTTTTTAGGTCGACCAAAATGATTTTTCGAGCTCTCCCAAAGCACTGTTTTGCCCCTATTTTGTGCCGCAGGGAAATTTTTGAAAAAACAGTCAAAAAAGCCGTTTTTGGGCACTTTTTGAAAAGTTTTGACAAAAAAATCGCGTTTTTTTTGGCGCGCGCTCCCCCTCAAAATTAGTATATATTGGCGCCCAAGGCGCCTTTAGAAAAAATTTAAGGTCGGTCGGCCAAAAATGGATTTCTGAAAAAGTATCAAAGGGGGACCCTTTGGGTCGTCAGTGGGTCGAATCCCTGAGGGAGGGGGCGTCCGCCCCCCTCCCCCCCCCCTCCCCCTCCTAAATCCGCCCCTTTTTCAGACAGAATTCTTATCTCATGCTTATTTGAAACATCAAAATTGCATTTTAAAAAATCTGTCAAAACGGAAAGATTGCATTTATTTTATAAAATCTGTCTGTCCGAACTTTTTGAAACTGCAATTCTCTATTTGAAAGACAAGAAATAATTGAAAATCGCTAAACTTTTATCGTGATGTTCACAAGAGTAATATGACGTCGGCGTATTGTAACACATTACAGGAGACAGGTAGTTGCTAATTTGAAACATTATTGCAGAGTTATAAAATGAGTAGGCCCAGTACAATAACCCTGATGTGCTGAATTATACAATGATTTTCACACAATATTGACAATTCTTCTCTGTTGACGGTTGCTTGTGAAGAAAATTCTCTTGATAATTACTTTTCCGGAGACTCTGCCAATTGCACTTATTTTTTGAAGAAAGTGTGATCAAATGGAGCTAACGATTTGAATAGATCTGAAATGTGTTTGTTAAAGTCAACTGCTTTCCTGAAATGTTCTGGGCAATATAGGTGGCAGTTTTAAGCCCCAATTGGGTGTTGCTAAGGAGATTATTTGAGAAATAAAAACCATTCGCCCGATTGTAATTTTGTGCGATATTTTTGAGCTAAAGTTCTCGAAAATCTCAAATTCTCCGGTTCACGGAATAATCTTTTTTTTTTATATTTTTTTGGTGTGATAGATTGTTTTTATTTTGTAATTGGCATTTGCTTTTTGAGTAACTCTGGGTATTTTTTTTTTTAAGAAAAACTTTAAGAGTGACTGTTAAATGTGAAACCTGACCTAAACTACATTTTATGATTGGATAAATTAGATATTTTACCACTGTAAAGTATTTAATATTAACCAATCATGATCCATCTAACTAACAACCCACTTATTTGTAAGTGCTGGAATTACTTGTAATTTCAGCACCAGAGAGATTTGAATTTAACTTAGAATTTAGTTGCCTCTCCAAAGGAACTTCAGCAGCCGCAATAAACCAGTATACCCTAGATCTATTGAGCCTAGCAGAGACTAGTTAAACAACCTGAGACTAGATAGTATAAGAGTAAGATTAGGATCGGTATTAGACTAAGAAGTTGCACGAATCTATCCGGCCGAAAATAAGATAGCGTGACGAGCAGACGGTGTACCCTATCCGAAATTACTCTATGAGTTAACCACTTCGGTCATAACTCATCTGGTGCGACCATAAGTCTCGAACAAGACCTTAATAGCTTAGAATTAACCAAAAATAGATTAGAATTTAGACAAAACATTTTTAAAATGTTATACGACGATAATTTAATCGAAATGTCTCTACGACTCAATAGATCAGAGCCAATATTCCGAACGATAACAGAACTACCCGGAATTGCAAGAAGACCTCGAACCAGAGACGACATACGACAAAGTAGAAACTTACCAAATAGTTATATGATAGTACGGCAAAAGCCAACACAGACTTTTATATTTAGAATTTTATTAGCAATGAATTTAGATTTTCATTTGCAAACATAAAACCTTGAAGTCAATCTTCATTATCATTTCAGGCGCTAAATAAAACTATTAATATACAATAACGATTGATAAAAAGATCTCAGATCGTTTTCCTAAAATTCTGCAGTATTATATAAAACATGTTTGGAAAATATTTATTGAAAATCAAAATAAAAATTAGTAGCATGACAATAAACTGTTAGTAATCATAAAATCATCAGTTGTTCCAGCTTCATCACCTAAAACATAACAGCAATCATAAGCTCACTAATATCATTAAAACACTAAATCTTTTCTTAAATAAATTTAAACCATTTTAAACTTAAATTCACTTAATCTTAAAATCAGATCATCAAGGCTTATCCTTGGATCTTAATTAATTTTCTATTTAATTAAATTTACAAAACTTGATCATCAAGGCCTATCCTTGGATCAAAAAGAACAATTTTGTTCTCCCCCACCCACTTAGCTAGTGTCTAACGACCTCAAACGTCGATTCACTATCCACCCCTTTCAAAAAACCCAAGACTAATAGAAATTTTTGAACAAAACTAATCATTCACATTAGGATAAACAGTGAAGAACTTCGGTTATTCATCCTTCACTTGAACCCTCCTCTTACCAGACCCAGGATAAATCATAGACTTAGTAAGTTTAAAATAGTATCTAACGAACTACTTGCGTTCTAATTATACCTGAACCTTGTGGATCGATTTACTATTCTCCAAACCTTGAACACAATCACTACCCTTAAGTAAGATTAAGTAAGTTAACACCTTAGCTTATACTAGCCACGAGAAAGTAAAAAATCATTCTTCGGAATCGATATACTTTTCTCTCCAACCCTGAACAAATAGACCCAGGTTAAGCTAACCAAAAAATTGTAAGGACTAACAATTTAAGGAAATAGAAATCATCTAACAACTTTTTGCATCCGTCATCCTAAACCTTATGTCATTTAAAAATCTAGGAAACAAACAGACAATCGTTTTACCAAACTGTGAAATAGATAACAAAAAATACGACCTTGTAATCACACCTCATACACAAACAGTTGGATATATTAGAACAAAACGACAAACACTAAAAAGGAAAATAATAAACAAACAAAGACAAATAACACGAAAAAGATTTTCCAAAAATAGAATCAGAAGCCAGCAATTTAGACGAACTTTTTAAATTAAAAGAATCTATAGATAAAAATTGCCCCATTCACGATCAATTATATTTTTCCGACTCAGAAACAACTTCAAATTCATCAAAAAGAGGAAAAAGAAGAATAAAAAAGCAATATAAACACAAACCAGTACATTTATATAATTGGAATCAACCAATTAGACATATCGATAATTACCTATTAACAGTCATTAAACGAAAAAATGAGCCAAACACACACCCCAAGTGAAGATAGTCCAGATGATGACGATATCTACCCCTTCCTCGTAGATGCACCCAATGATAGAGGGCAGCATATACTTTGCAAGAATTTAATCCTAAATTTATTTGAACCCGGAATCAGCCCATGTAAAGCAGAGTTCCCAGATGTAAAGATCAAAAGACAAATTATTGATCACTATCTGAAAGATATATGTAATTTGACACAACAATACGGAATCTACACCATAGAATTCAGCTCACCAAACCCGAATCACCGCAAATATGAAATTCAAACAGACGACCTTGATTTAGAATTTTCAAAAGTATTCTCAGAATACATAAAAAGCATACAATATCATAACTCACAAAGAGCAAACTCCATATTCACTAATGAAGTGTTTGCCATAATATATAGTTATATCTCAATATTAGAAAACGAAATCCCAATCCCAAGTGTCTCACCGACAGAGACATCTAAACATATAAGGGTACGACATGAAATCACACTATTTTCAACTTTTCTACATATAATTAAAGAAAATTTCACTAAAGATGATGTTTCACAACATACAAAACATGACTTACAAAAAATTTTGGCATGGTTTATAATAGATTATTTCACACATAATATAGATTTAATTTCACAAGCAAGAAAAAATTTCAGACCTCAAAATTCAAACGATGATACCGCCATCACAGAACAGTCAGACTACGTTTGGGACCCCGAATGGTCTCATTATGCATTTATAAATATCCCACAATCAATTGCAAGTCAAGCAATAAGTACAATATCTTATACAAGAGATTATG